TTTTAATTCTGCTAACTTGGTGGTCATAAAAGAGAACCAACTTAAAGACTTCAATGTATCCCTGTAATTTGAAAAATTTAAAAGGCAGGGAAGTCACTTAGTGGGAATTTTGAGCATAATTTTCTTTTCAACTGTTCTACAGTGGGCAACTTATTTAGCGCCTAAATGCTCTTTCTCTGTTCCCTTCACTGGGGCATAGTACTTGACAGTGCTTGGTTTGCCAGCCCTGGTGATAGATTCTCTGCAAATTTAAAGCACTGAGCATGATTTACACTCTTGGAAACTGTAAAATGGATGTGCTTACATGGGTTCAAGTAGAGGGAGGCGTATTACTGCCTTTTGCTAAAGTTGGCACTTACACAGTACAGACATAACACAGAATTTGTCTTTCCCAAATAGGAGAGAGGGAAGTGCTTTGAAGACTGGGAAACTCTGAAAATCCTTTCGGAGGCAAAATTAATGACATAGAGACTGCTTCTTTCAGGTATGTAATTCTTCATTCAAGTAAGGCTTGACTTCCTATCATATGGAATTTAAGGAAAAGCCTCAGAATCTGGAGGTTAAAATTTATTTGTTTCTCTAAAGCCAAAAAAGAAGAGTCAGAGCGAGTTTTACAATACAGAGCAAAAATAGTTTTCATTTCATGAAATTACAGTTTTAAAACATTTGTTTCACCATAAAATTGTACATTCTAACTAAAGAGTATTTCAAATACATAGAAGTGTATATTTAGAAAATAAATATCCACCAGCCAACCAACCACTATATTTTGATGTATTCCTTTTATTTTTTTAATCTGTCAGTGAGTGTTTGTCCCCAAAGCTCTAACCATAATGCTGATTAGATTTTCCTTTTTTCATTTATTATATACTACTCGTGATCTTATTATTACTTACTCCTCTTAAGCAATGCTAAATTCTGCTAAATATTCCATCACATAGATATATTCATAGGTATCTATTTCTTTATCATTTAATATTTAGGTAGAATAAAAGTTTTTGCTTCCATAAATACTGCTACTATTAATATTTTATTGATTACATTTTATTTCATATATACGTTATTCTTTCAGGAGAGAGAAAATAATTTATATGTGGATCAAAAGACAGTAACATCTAAGAGTGTGGTCATTATCACTATATTGCTTTCTAAAATTACTGCTGGGCCATCTGGGTAGCTCAGTTGGTTAAGTGTCAGACTCTTGATTTTGGCTCAGGTCATGATCTCAGGCTCCTGAGATGGAGCCCCGCCTTGGACTCCAAACT